CCCCAAAACCCCAAAACCCCAAAACCCCAAAACCCCAAGGAAGACCACTAAAATTGAAGAGTATTTACCTTTTCAAAATTATTAACCAATTTCCATTTACTCATCAGGGTTATACCTCATGATAACCTCTTTCGTAATATCTGCACGACAGAGAGGACACTTCCTATGCTTCTTAATCCACTCCAAAATACACTCCTCATGAAACACATGCATTTTATCCTTCCTATCCTCCCCTACATTACAAGGCAGCACAATCAACAACTCATCTGGCACCTCCGAAAACGCTCAGATACATATCGATCACTCCTCATAATCCAACTCCTCTTTCAGCTCTTCATACCTAAACCTCTTCAATTTCTCTAGAGGTATCTCTTCTTCATTATTCTCGAAAAACCCATTGTCTCTTAAGAACTCTAAGAAACTTCTTCTGCCCCAGCCAAGGTACTCTCTTGGCGGTGCAGGAAGTTCGGCAGCTTCGTCATCAAGTCTGACTAGGAGCTAAAACTATCAAAAAATCACTTACTGGGATGTAGTTATTCTCTTGCTCATCAAGTTGAAACTCTAGGAGCCTTCTCTCAAGGCTTCCTCTATACCTACTTGCTCTAATCGAATTGAAACTCCTCCTTTGTTCTCTTCTTTCTCTTAAAATAGTACAAAGAATTCATGGAGCCAAAATGATATAAACAAGAGTCAGTAAAGAATAATGCAAAATTCTTACGAGCTGGATTACAAAAACCGTAAGGAAGATCAACACCTTTACTCTAGTATACCGATGCTCGTAAAACAGATCATCAAATGCCAATCCAAACGACGCACCCCATAAGCATCAAATCGCTATATGAATCACCGCATGGATCAACCTAATCCAATTCCTCTCTCCTCTGGATGACTTCAGCACCAATCTCCTCACAAAAAACACCATAACATCAACTCCAAACACTCCAATACACGTTCCCATCTAAACCAGTCAACACCCAAATCCCCTATCACTTACCCCTATCACCTCAAAATTATCCTGCTCGCCCCCAAATCTAAAGAGTCACTAAATTTGCTCTACTTCGCTGTTAGAATTATTATTGATGCTATTAGGCTGATTCATGAGCAGAATAGGTATCTGGATAGCTTGGTTATTACTTTTTGTTTATGTTCATAATCGGTGGAGTAGACTTTAGTGCTACACACCCAATGGGCGAATTCAGAGCAGAGATCTGAGATTCAAGACATTTTTATTATAAAATTGATGAATATTTTGGGGGTTTTGGGGTTTTGGGGTTTTGGGGTTTTGGGGTTTTGGGG